AGACAAATGATGAGGGATTCGGGATCCTATTTGTCATATTCACAAGTATATACGCGTGACGCCAGATCTCTCCATCACTCTCAGGGCCATTTTCAAGGCTATCCGTTCTTCACTTCACAATAGCGCTGATTTCCTTTTAAGGAAACGCTCGAGGTGCCAACCTCATGACACAGGCTTCAATTTCGGCCGGTTCCAACACAACAGGTAGTCAACATCAAAACCTTTTAAGAGAACAGAAATAATAACAACATAAACTCATGTTAAATCCATCGACAACAACAGAAAACACCGAGGCGATACAGAGCTAAAACACTTTCCTGCCTGCATATGTGTTTTGTTCGCCGCCGCATTGGCTTTGAAAAATTGCACAAAATGTCAATACAACAAGAAGCTTAGATGTCGTTGAAATCCATTGGTATCCAAGCATCAAGTAAGGTTACAACTTATATCCGATAGTAGTACTATACAAAAAAACACCTTGCAAATGAGAGGCGTAGCTCAGTCCCTACTACTGTGGCCTACTCCAAAAAGAGAACAATAAGCATTAACCAAGATGGCTGCTTCTTTCGTCAACTAGCTCTCCTAGTTCCCACATGCAAAGAAAAAAATTAGTCGCCCTGATATAACGCCTGAGTAGCATATAAGCATCCAGTTGCATCAATAGCAAGCTAAGCTGCTAGACCTGGGTGTAAAAGGTATCTGAATAGTTCGGCATACGAGTTCTAAGAATAGATTTTGAAGTAGCTTGACGTGACATTCCAACTGAGAACACAGAACACTCACCCCAGCAGGGAGAAGGTCATTTTGATTTAGTAGTTTCTCCATCCAGCTCTCTTCTAATCAATTTCAAGATCTCCACGACCTGTAAGAAGAAACGAAACGTCGATAAAATACGATTAACATGTCATTGAGCAACTAAATCATCACAAACACAAATCGCTAAATAGAGTCAATCAGTAAGAACACCATAGCAGGAGCAAGAATTTGATCTTAAAAAAGGAATATTGTCGCATTTTACTTCAGTAGAAACAGTGTCAGAAACAAAAAATGTTCTTACACCAGGATAGTATTGTAACACGGATGAGTAATGATCAAGTGCAAAATATATCTTCTCAAGAAGACCCAAGAGGGTATCAACTTCATCCCCCAATAGATCGACCTGCAACATCAAAAAGCAATGTAACAATTATATTTGTTACAAATGCAATAATCTGTTCTTAAGTCGAATATGCACTCTTATTTTTTTCCCTGTGAGTCTGTGACTAACCAAGTTAAGATGAGAAAAATATCACTCAGAGTACTCGCGTCCGTACCTCATTTTCAGCCTTCTGAAGGTCTTCACATTTTGCTTCAAATCTTTCCTTGTACCACAAAGCCTTCTTCTTAAGTAGCTTACTTTGCTGCTTAATTTGACTGCATTGATGGCTCAATAGGTTCAACCTGTAAATAGGACATAAAGTTTCATACCCATGACCCATAGGTAAATCAAAACGTATCATACTAAAATAAAATAACGAAAAATCCAGAGAAATTGGGAATTAGATACTTTCTTAAGGAGGTAAAGTTATATCTTCCACAAAGTAAAGTGTATGGAAACACTTATAAGCTTCTTATATGGTCAAAACTATGAAACTTCCACAAAATTAAATGACTAAAAGAAATCACATTGGCCAACATTGACATAGGATTTGCTTCAGGCACCTAACCCATAACCCATAAATCTTGCAGAGTTCATTTGCAGATTAGATGGAATGTTTGAAAGGGAGAACAGGAATTCGAACTTGGAATTTATGCGATCAAGGAATGTTGCTTTTGACAATTGTAATGGCAAGTGATGAAAATTTCAGTTACGATAGATGTAGCTCAGTTGTTTCTCAAGTAAACCAATTGATAAATATTTGTGGTTTTCTTCTCTAAAAAATACATAGATGGCCCAACTATCCCGCAAAAATATCACGTGTTTTATCTGGACAAGGCTTTTTCTTCTGCACAGTAACTCTAGGAAACCATTTAGGTGTTAATACTTCTTCATATACGTAGTAAGACTCCCTTTCGACTAAGAAGATTATACGCCAAGAGAAAATATACGACCACGGTGACAAGGCTGTATAACTATCTGAAAATTTTGGACATCACAAATAAAATGTTGCTAAAATGTTACTAAAAGGGAAAGAATGAAGGTGAAAAAAAGACAATACCTTGCTTCATTTGTTTCAATTTTCTGAATCACCTTACATCCATACTCCCAAGTGGTTCTTGATAAATGTGCGACTGAAGCGACAATAGCTTCTAACTGCTCCTTTAGCTCTTTTTCCAGTGCGGTTTTTGACGCTAGCTCCCCTTGTTTGTCACAGATGTCGTTTTGAAGAATGCTGTTTTGTCTTTCCGTTTCTTTCAAACCATCAAATGAGATCATGAGTTTCTGATTTAGATTACAAATCTCAGCTTCCTTCTGATGGATTTGCTGACATGCCTCATCCATTTTACCCATTGACAAATTTATTTCATCCTTGAGGTTTGCGATGATCATTTGTTGCTTGCTGTCTCTATCCTTGTACAGATTAAGTTCGTGGCGTACCAATTCAAACTGCTCCTTCTGCTTCACCAATTGGGAGGTAGCCTCTGATGCCAACATCTCCTTTCCCCTCACCGAAGTCGACAGTGCTGCTACTTGCTGTTTCAACCTTCCATTCTCTTCAATTTCCAACCTTAATCCCTCCTCCTTTTCTGAAAGTTCTGCGTTGATGGAGTCTTTTTCCTTGTACGATCCTACTAACATAGAGTTAGTACTCGAAACAGCATTTGCTATAGCCCCTTCGTATACGAGGCAGTAGATGTCCTCTATGATCTTGGTAGCTGTTTCCAGAACTTGTTCGTTGCTTTCGATCTCATCAACCAAGTTTTCTAAAACACGCTTGTACTTTTCTTCTTTGATGCTCGCTTCCGTCCTCACTTCTTCAATAGCAAATCGGAGCCTTTCAACCTCTTCGACCAACTTTGACTCCGCCGAGCCCTGCGGAGCCGTCCGTTGGGCCTCCTTTTTCTCATCTACCGGTGGCGTCCGCAGCCACGGGCTTTCTGAAAACAAGGCATCAGCTCTCTCCTTCAGCCTCTGCGACGCGTCCTGGCAGTCAAAACCAACAGGGGGCTCCTTGCTCTTCAGAACAATGTCATCCAGCTTCAGGATTATTTCTGAGACCTTCTTCTTGGCTATTTCAAGGTCCCTTTCTTTGCTGAAGTGCAAAGGACTGGAACCCTTCTCCTTGAGGAGATCCCTTTTGAGGCTGAACAGCTCCTCCGTCTTCTCTTGCAAGGCTAGCTCATGCTGCCTCTTCATCCTGTTCATTTCCATCTTGAAGTAGCTTATCAGCTCTTCCTTCTTCAGGCACATCAGCTGCTGGGGAGAATCGCCGGGGATGAGCTTCATTAAAACATCGCCGGTGCTGCGTGGCGTGGGGGACGAACGGTTCTCTACAGTCCTCCGACACGCGTCGTCCCTCCTTTCCCCGTTGTTGTTCTGTTCCTCAACGTTTTCGGTGGCGTTCCTGTATGACATCAGAAGCGCGGAATCAGGAGGGTTTGACGACATGGACTTAAATAGTGCGTCCAGATCCCGGCGGGCCGAAGAGATTTCACTGAGCCTCTCCCTCCAGTTCCTGGCCATAGCATCGCGTTGCTCACCGATCGTGGCTTCGAGCTCGACCTGGAGGCTCCTGATCATGCGACTCCGAACCGTGAGATAGCAGCAGCAGCATCGACCCGTCAGCCGGAAGCCCCGGCATCGGAGAACTCACGCCTTCAGCGATCCCCATGAGCTAGCGCTCGGGGTCCCCCTCTTCACTGCTGCAAATCTTTTAGAAGTGTTTAGGTAGAAGAAAGAAAGATGAATGATTCGATCTCACTCAATAAAAGATAGTGAAGCTGATGACGAACCAAGAAACTAAACAAATCAACCGCACTGAACAATTTGAGCACGCGATTAATAAAGAAAGAAGATAACAAAACGGAATATTTTTCTGGAGAAAAATCAAAATAAAATCAGCCTTATTCTCGCTCACAGATTTCTTTCGCCTTATTCTCTTTTGGGGGACAAATTAGGGTTTTTTTTTTTTTTATCACGTAGAAGAAAGGGGAAAGCGCAGAGAGAGAGAGAGAGAGAGAGAGAGAGAGAGAGAGAGTGGGAGAGTGGGAGAGTGGAGGAGCACGGCACAGGAAAAAGAGAAGAGTGAATCGGCGGCAATGTCCTCAAATCCGAACTGCCTTTATTATCATAACTAGTTGAGATGTACGCGCAGATGCACGTGGTTGAATATTATGAGATAAGATACACTTGTAATGCACGTAGTTGAATATCATAATTATTTAAATTGATAAAAATAGAGTAAAAATAAAAAAAAGAAAACAAAGTTTTTTGTAGGATTGATTATCAACTCAATAATCTCTCTCTCAAATAAAATATTATCATTGTTTCCTTCAACTCAAATTGTGGCCACATTATCTACTATTTATGAGTTATAAATACATTAATTTAGTACACCATCTCTATTTATTAGTATCTTGAAGTCTGCAAAAGATGGGTGATCATTCACTTCGCAAAAGAATTTTGCATATAAATTTACTTGCAATATGTCCATTAAACTTTTAGTTATGGTTTGACTCATATTTATGTTAACTTTTAGTTGATGTTTCGCTCATATTTATATTATCTAATATTCTCATTCAATTTTATAGCTCATTCTCTGTATCATAGAAATAAAACTAAAAATATAAAGAATTATTTTCTTACAAAATTAGAATAGGGACATTATGATATATTTCATCATGTGCTCTAAATATAAAAATTTATTTTTTTTCTTTGATGCAAGGTCCCTATCAAATCTTACCCCAAACGATATGAATGAAAAATGCTATTATAACTTACTTGTCTAGGACAATTGTATTGTATATAGGATACATAACTTATCTAAAATATCCATATCTCCTAAGTGGATTTTGCTGTTATGAGAGTAACATGTTAGAGGCTCGTATTTAAACTTTTTAGCTCTATAAAAGACACAAGAATTTAGAGTGCATATCTTATATATCGTAAAGAGCATATCAATTCATGAAGACTTTTTTTAATAATGATATTACTATTCAATATTAAATTAATTTTATTATATAATATTATATGACCCTTTTTAATAAATTATAAAGTATATATATGGAAACCTCGATGCTTATAACCAGTATTTAGGCTCCACAAAATAGATTAACTTTACATTATAGTTTGCTATTTGTAATATTGCTAGCAATGTCATTATATTTTCTCTTTATCTTATTATTCATACTTTTCTGATGTAAGTTCTCTTTTGCTAATCATTCAATTGGCTATATTTAATTTTTATAATATCAGAGGTTAGAATATTCTCTTCTATTTAAAAAGTGTTAACATGATTTTCTTAAAAAATAAATACACATACTAACATTAATATATACTTCAGTGCAACTCAAACATTAGCTTGAAGCCATTTAGAATGAGGTCATTTCTATGCTAGAATGATGATATAGTGATTACACAGTATAAAAGTCAAAGAAGAAATTTCTACAAAGGAAAAGTGATTTAATATGTCAAATTAAGAATTAATTTATAGAATATACATGGACAGTGCAGATAGCTATAGAAAGTAAGCTATATATCTTCATAAAAATTTCATGGTGAGTAACCAACTACAATCATCCTAATTTAAGTATAAATAATCTTTATTTAGTTACTAATTTAATATACGTAACTATGGAAAAAATCTCCAGCAAAAAATAAGAAATGAGATTGCATTATACTATAAACAAACAAATAAATGTTATTAGAGATCCTCTTTATATTGAATTTAAAAGTAATAACTTAAATTATTAAGCACCAAATGTTAGCTCATGTGAGAAAGCAAAGTATATTATGGTCTATATTATGTATATAGTCAATCAATCAAACGTATTAAAATTATAATAACCACAGTCAAAATTATATGATAGGTTCACATTAAATATAATTTGTAAAAAATAGTACATTAAAGTCAAAATCTTTTTAACCACTATATAGATTGTATGAAAATTTTTTCATATATAAATTATGCTGTCTAGGAATAGTGATGTGCACACTTAACTATTGTCTAATAATCTTAAGAACGACTTATTCTTCAATATCATTATTAATTGATGTATATGTACATTACACTAAAAACACAATGAAAATTTAGAAAACTACAAAATAAGCACCCTCAAAAGTTTTAAAAAGTGTGAAACACCCTAAAATTTATAATTTACAAATATACAAAACTATTAAACATTACATTAAAATCAAGGAATTACAAAAAAAATATTGAAAAATTTTAAACTTTAGAGGTGTAATTTGCAATGTACTAAACTTTAAGGGTATTTTTTATAAATTTTAAATTTAATAGATTTTTAATTAGTTATGTTCTTTTCAAAAAAAATTATGTGTAATATTTACCATGAAAAGTTTTTCCTAAACCTATACTTTTAAAAGGTGTATGATATTTTTTACAAAATTTTAATTTTGTAGGGGTTGCTAGTAATTTTGTATATTCATTTTAATGTCTATAGGTTAAAAATTATCATGAAGTTTTTTTTTAAATTATGAATTTTAAGGATTTTTTAAACTTATAGACTTTTTCTACACATTGTAATTTGTTTATAGACTATTAGTACTTCCTATGCTTTCAATCTACTAATGAATTTAAAATTTTCAGGGTGTTTTTTGTAAATTTTGAATTTTAAAAGATTATTTGTAATTTTTAAAACTTTAAGGATATTTTCTATAAATTATAAATTATGTAGGGGATATTTCTAATTTTTATATTTTTAATATACTATTAGATCAGAAATTATCAGGATTTTTATAAATTTTACAATTTTGCGAGTTTTATTTTGTAATTTGTAAAAAGTTCAGAGTGTCTATTACAAATTCCATAAATTTTTAGGGGTTTTTTGTATTATTTGTAGGTTTTTAGTATGTTTATAAGTTGGGAAAAATGTGTCCAGGCCCCAAAAGCAGAAAGTTCATGTGACCCGCCCCCTTGTATTTTGCCCCATGTGATTCAGCCCCAAATACACATTGTATTTGTGTTAAGGCCCCAAAGTACCAGATCCTGAGAAAAACCCAACAAAAGTTACAAATTTACCCTTTGATTTGATTGAGCTTGGTAACTGCGCCCATCCCTTTAACTCCATCCCATCTCTCTCTCTCTCTCTCTCTCTCTCTCTCTCTCTCTCTCTCTCCACTCTATCTCTCAGCTTCTCCTTCTCTCTCACTTCCGTCATGGCCGCTGAAAATGATCAGACTGAGGAGGTCGTGGATGGCAAAGGCGAGGACGGTGGTCATGGAGTCGGAGGTCGGGGAGTCATCTTAGAAACAGCTCGTGAACGCGGGTTCAACAACAAACACGGAACATGGTCCGGGGACCCGCGAGCTGACGGAGCCTGGGGCTTTGGTCTGATGCATCGTTGTTCTCCCCTTTCTAGGTTACGGAATATCTTTACCCAAATCAATGTCTTAATCAAGATAGTGCTCTTGTTTTCTTGTAATTTATGAAGGGAATCGATATTGGATTTTTGTAGTTTTTCTCTTTCATTTAATTGAAATGAGATCTCCTTGGATTCTTGAACAGCAGTTTGGGTTTTTCTTTAATGCCTTTTTCTTGTGTGATTTGGTGATTGACAGAGTTTTGTATAAGAGATTAACAGCAGAAATTCAAAAGCTCACATTGAATCTTCAGACATATCGACATTTAGCTAAAAATTGAAGATAATGTGATTAAAAGTCGACTAAAGAATCTAAGAACCTGTGAATTTGAAAGGGGGGTCAAGGAAAATTAGAACTATAAATGTTAGTTCTAAGGGCTGTTATGTTAGTTCTAAGGGCTGGAATGTTAGTTCTAATGGCTAGAACTAACAAAGAGCCCAATGTTAGTTCTAAGGGCTGTTATGTTAGTTCTAAGGGCTGGAATGTTAGTTCTAATGGCTAGAACTAACAAAGAGCCCAAGAGCCCCAAGGCCCAAGGCCCAATCAAAGACCTTTAAATATATATCCAATCAAAGACCTTTAAATATATATTGTAGTTGCATGGGCTTGAACTCCTAACCTCCTCTCCAAATTCCCAAGCTTTACCACTAGACCAAGTAGCCAAAGTGTTAATGTTAGTTCCACTTAAAGTTAGCTCTTACTTGCCATTAGAACTAACATAAAATAAGTTAGAACTAACATGAAAATAAGTTAGAACTAACATGAAATAAGTTAGAACTAACATGAGTTAGCTATTGATAGAGTTTAAAAAATGGCATAAATAACTAGAGTTAGCTCATGTTTGTTCTATCGAAGCTCATGTATAAATTAGAACTAACTTGTTATAAAATAGAACTAACTTGCTATAAGTTAGAACTAACTTGGGATAAATTAGAACTAATGTGGTTAAAATTAGAACTAACTTGTTATAAGATAGGACTAACTTGATATAAATTAGAGCTAACTTGTTATAAAATAGAACTAACTTTGTATAAATTAGAACTAATTTGTTATAAAATAGAACTAACTTGGTATAATTAGAACTAACTTGGGATAAATTAGAACTAATGTGGTTAAAATTAGAACTAACTTGTTATAAGATAGGACTAACTTGGTATAAATTAGAACTAATTTGTTATAAAATAGAACTAACTTTGTATAAATTAGAACTAATTTGTTATAAAA